GGCTAGATGGAGACTAGACGCCCTCAGGACTTTGTGGCCCAGAACTGCCACACCAGCCCTGTTCTGTCTGCCGTTGGACCATTTTGCTTGTTTAATGTTGTTAAGGTATAAATAAGCTTCTATCTTGCTTAAGCCACTCTTATTTTATAAATAGCAAAGCACTGGCTAAGTGTACGGAGATATATGTTCAAGGATGTATATTGACCAGTGATAGTGAAATGGAGCAGGACCCTACGGTCCTTGCCCCCATGTCCTCAGCCTGCCTTTTGTCTGTGGAAAAACTTTAGCCAAAGAGTAAGTTTAATCAGAGAAGTGAGAAAATGCAGAAACAAAGGAAAATAGTCCAACAAAACTAAATAATAATAGTTTAGTCATTAAGCGTAGTCAAGGACCTGTAGTTCCTTCTCAAAGGGCTATAGATAATATTCTGAGCCACACTCTATGAGCAGTCTTATAGATAGTGAAACCCCTGCCAGGTGGAGAAGTTAACTGCATGACGATCAGGATGTAGCCATGACATAAGCTGCCACAATTCCGAGAACTGGCCTCAAGAAATGGAAACAAATCAACCCTGGAACTAAAGATTAATTGTACTTAATCAGGATGACACTGGTCAGACCACTGATGATCAATTTCAAGATGACTGTCAGAGCCGACTATGCTGTTTCTGCATGTAGCCCCCTCCCTCTGTCTGTAAAAGCTCTTTTCCCCTGATTGTCGGGTCAGGGGGGGACGTCGGCCTTTGGACAGGCATCTGCCTGCCACCCCCACCACCCCGGTTGCTGGCATTCAAAATAAAGCAAACTTTCCTTTCCACCAAGCTTGCCTCTTTATTGGCTTTTGAGCTGCGAGCAGCTGGACCCCACTTCTGGTTACAATAGTAGCCAAAAACTAATGAGTACATTTATCTCATTTACTATCAAAGCCCAGCCTCAGAAACTCAGGTCCTGCCACAACTAGGATCTGATCAAAAACCAAACTCAAACAAAATTAGTTGTTGAGACACACCTTAAAGAGATACCAAAAGGAAAAGGTTAGGAGTAAATGTGGGGGCAAAGGTCTTCCAGAAAAATGCAGGGTGGGGGGAGAGAGAGGGAGAGGTAGCTCTCAATATGGAATTTGATGGCAAAAGTCAAAAGTAGGAACTGAGACCCAGAGTCATTTCATATTGATAAAGACAAATTCATAATGGAGTCAAAACAGTGGTGAATATCTATATTCTGAATAACATTCTCCAGAAGCCTCAGAAATGCTGGGAGAAAAGGACAGAAGCACAGTAAATGGTGGGGTTTTGACTCATTGTTCCAGGCCTTGAGAGCAGAAGAAGGTAAAAAATAAACAAGGATATAGAAGAGGCAATAAATGATATGCAATAAATTATATGACAGGCATATGCCTATGTCTACTAAGGAATAAGTAAATAATTAAAGGGAGGAAGCAAATTTGCAGAAGATGGTTACCTTTTATCACTTGAACAGCTATTCAACTATGAGGTCATTAAGGTGGCCAGTTACACATTGACAAATATGTAGTTTTCCTGAATAGAACCAGTTAGAAAATAAGACTTCTATTGGGTAGTCATTTAGGAAAAATAAATAAAGCTGGACCTCTTTCTTATCTCTTACTCAGCCCCCACCCCCACCAAAAAAAAAATCAATTTTAGCTGGATCAAATGTTTAAATATTTTTTAAATTTAAAAGAATCATAAAAATACTCCAAAGAACATATAGGCAGAGGGAACAGCTTGTGCAAAAGTCCTGGGGCAGGAATGAACCTAGGCCAGTGTGGCTGGAACAGTGGGCTTAAAGGGGAGAAGAGGGCAGACAGGGGAGATAAGGAACCTAAATTTCATTTATGTGCAATGGGTCCCATGCACTGAGAGCCTAAATCCCCACGGCCCACAGAGCTTTCTCTGGGTCCTTAGGAAGGTGCCACCACAGCTGCGAGGGAACTGATTTGGCTCTGCCAGTTTCTGTTTCTTCACCTGGAAAAAAGTCACAGCGGTGTAAGGTCCAGCACGACCCATCTCCTTTGTGGTTCCCCTGCCTTGGCTTACTCCCAGCCAGCCACACCAAGTGCCATGTGCTCCTGGACCCCGGCGACACAGCCATCAATGGCAGTGGATGGGGGATGCCCTAGGCAGAGGGACTTGCCTGTGCAGAGGCCCCGTTTCTTCAGAGATCTAAGGAGTGGCTCAGAGTGTGTTGGGGATATTGTTTAAAAGTGCACATCTCTGTTATCTGTTTTTTCTACAGTGACCTTGCAGTTCTTGTTCATTCATTTATCCAGTATTTATTGGATACTTGGTGTGTGCTGGACACAACCTCTGCTCTCAGGAAAGTGTGGGAAGAAACAGTCACTAAGCATAGTAGGAACACAGAGCAAGTCAGCTGGTGATAGGGCTGTGGAGGGAAGAAGCTGGCCGGGGGAGCAGGCAATCGGGAAGGGTGGCTGCAATCGTAAATGGGGTTGTCAGAGGGAACTTGAAGGAAGCCTGGGAGTGAGCCATGTCAGGGGAAAGAGTGGTGGTGGGGGAGGGCACAGCAATTGCAAAGGCCCTGGGGCAGGGTCTCACCTGTCTTGCCCCAGCCAGAAACAGGTATTGGTGTTGGAAGAACAGCCAGGAGGCCAGCGTGGCTACTACAGCAATTCCCGTAGGGAGGAATGGGCAGGTCATGTAGGGCCCTGTAGGCAAGAGTCTGGGGGTTTTCTCTGAGCTAAAATCTCCATTGCTGGACAGAGGTGGGACCAGCTCTAATTTCGTTTTTAACAGAATCATGCTGGCTGTTGTGAGGAGAATAATGGGGGGCCAGGGTGGAAGCAGGAGTGAAACTTGTTAACCCATTAGGAAGCTGGTGCAGTTCTCCAGGCAGAAAAGATAAAAACAATACCAGTAACAACAACTACAACAATGGCTGCTATTTCTTGCTGCTTGTCTTGCAGGCCTGGCGGTAAGCACTTCACACACACTATCCATCAAATCCTCTCAACAATCCTGGGACAAGCATTATAATTGTCTCCATTTAAGAGATGAGGAAACTGAGGCTCAGAGAGGGAAAGTCATTTGCCCGAGGTCACACAGCTGGCCATCTGGGAGCTGAGGTTTGAGCCCAGGCATATCTGACTGTGGACCCAGCCCTCTTAACCAGCCTGAGCAGGGCCCTGTGGGTGAGGGGGTTAGGAAGCTGCTGCAGGGGCCAAGCTGAGCAGGATCCCTTTCCACTCACCTCCAGTCTCCCCAGCACTTGGGCTAGGAAAGGGAGAAATGGGGTTCAGGCCCTGGAGAACCTGGGAGAGACTCCAAGACATATCTGTTTCCCGGGCCCCTTCAGTGACTCTGGGAGACCAGAAACCTAAGGCTTTGAGTGAGACACTTGAGATGCCCCCACAACAGATGGGCAAACACAGGGAAGCCAGAAGGACAGCCTCAGGCAAAGGTGTCCCTTCCCTTCACATTCTTGCACGGAGAGCTGAGTCCCAGGCCCAAGGGAGTGAAGGGAGTAGAGGGTGAGGGGCCAGCACACCCTCAATGTGTGGGCTGGGCCATCTCCTCCCCCACCAGGCAGGAAGGGCCTTGTCCAGCCTTGCCCCTCAGAGCCCGAGCCTCCAACCCTGCGCTCGGTCCTGCTCTCTGCTTCCTTCCTTTACAGCATCACTGGGCATCAGCTTGGGGACGGGAGCTTATCTGTGTGCTGCTCTCTCCCACGTGAGCCCGGCCCTGTCCTCTCTCCCAGTGTCCAGATGGCCACCTGGTTTGCTAAGGGCTGGGCCACCTGATCGAGCCTGCCTCAACCATGTGTGTTAAGTCGGCCAGGGCAGCCCGGGCAGTGCCAGGTGACGGCATGGGCACTGGCCACACACTGCTCCCAGAAAAGGGTCTGAGTCAATGTTGTCCCAGGTTCCAGACTCCTAGTAAGACTAGAGGGGTGGGGATGTGGTCCAGGCAGGAGCAAGATGGCTCTGAGTGGACAGAACAGGGAGACAGAGAGGGGCAAAAACAAAAAACCTAGAAGAAGAGATGGAGAGATAAAGACAGAGACTGAGACACAGAGGGACACAAAGAACCAAAAGCTAGAAGCAGAAATGGGCAGGAAGACAGAGGCACAGAGGCAGGGCAAAAGGAGGGGCTGAGATGAACAGGAGGTAGAAGCAGAGGGGAGATTCTGTGTGTGCTGGAGGCCCGGCCCAGGTAAGCCACCGCCCTCGTGGCTCACATCCACGTGTATCAAGAGGGCTTCACCTCTCCTCGCCATAAGCTTGGCGTTACCTTGGGCCGCATCCCATCTCAATGTTCCCATCTCACAGATGTGGGGAAACCAGGCCCAGAGAGGAAGCAGTGCTTGCCCACACCTTGTCCAACCCCTGGTCAACCAGGCCTGTGCTCACTTGGCTGTGCATCCTCAAGCCAGCTGCTCACCTTCTCTGGGTCTCTGTGTCTCCAAAGGGTCTGAGGATGCCCAGGCTTTTAGCGCTTGGCTGCCAGGGAGGAAGCAAGGAGATAACAGGACCCCAGCCAGCCAGTGGGGACTGTGAGTTCCCTTTCTCCCTCTCGCCTCTCCCAGGGCCTGGAAGGGCTTCAGGCCTCCCAAGGGGCTGACCTTGGCTGGGTTCCTCTCCCCTCAGTGCCCATCCCAACCCTCGGTCTCCGTGCCAGGCTGGTGAGATTCCGGCCCCCACCTGGTAGGAACAGCTGTCCCAATGGTGTGGAGATGCAGCCGGGTAGAGGTCAGGGGGGGCGCAGTCTTTTGGCCTGGGGAGGAGGGGTCTGGAGTCCACCCAGCCGGCTCAGGGTGCCCCAACTCCAGCCGGACCTGCGGGCCAGCGGAGGAGGAGACCCTTCTTCCCCGCTATCCCTCGGCCTCGAACCCAGCAGCTGAAATTTCCTTTCTCCACGGCCAAGGGAAAGGCCATGGGCCACCTGCTGTCCCCAGACTAGACTGGCCCCTGGTACCTGCAGCTGTGCACTTACAGGCCTGAGTAGCCCAGCTCGGCTGGCTTACCTGCTGGTCCTGTTCCCAAGTGGCTCTGCATGGGAGGGGCCAGAGGCAGCCGGTTAGTATTAACCTGTCCCCGCCCCAAGGAGGGGGAAAGGCGCGGGCAGGGTGGGCGGGGCTCACTGAGAGCCTAACTGCGTGTCTGAATCAGCCCAAGCAGCCCAATCCAGAGGATCCTGATGATTCAACTTAACAATAAAGGGCTTATTACTCAGCGCTTTAACCCCCAGAAGACAAAAGAGCTGCCCAGGCATTGGCTCCGGCCCCACCTTCGGGCCACCGTAATTCCCTTCGTGCAGGAATGGCGCCCCCTGGAGCAGAAACTCTTGGTTCAAATAGTGGTGCTTAAATAAGTCACTTGGAAAGTGGGGATAATAATAACGCCCTCCTTGTGGAGCAGAAGTCAAAACAGCCAGTGTGTGCTGAGCGGACTCTGTGCCAGGACCTGAGCTTGAGGTACACTAATACGTTTAATCTACCACAGGCTTTTTTTTTTTTTTTTTTTTTTTTTGCCGTACGCGGGCCTCTCACTGCTGTGGCCTCTCCCGTTGCGGAGCACAGGCTCCGGACGCGCAGGCTCAGCGGCCATGGCTCACGGGCCTAGCCACTCCGCGGCATGTGGGATCTTCCCGGACCGGGGCACGAACCCGTGTCCCCTGCATCGGCAGGCGGACTCTCAACCACTGCGCCACCAGGGAAGCCCACAGACTTTTTAAAAAAAAATTTATTTTTTATTATTTATTTATTTTTGGCTGCGTTGAGTCTTCGTTGCTGCACGTGGGCTTTCTGTAGTTGCGGTGCGCGGGCTTCTCATTGCGGTGGCTTCTCTTGTTGTGCAGCACAGGCTCTAGGCGCTCAGGCTTCAGTAGTCGTGGCACGTGGGCTCAGTAGTTGTAGCTCGTGGGCTCTAGAGCACAGGCTCAGTAGTTGTGGCCCATGGGCTTAGTTGCTCCGCGGCACGTGGGATCTTCCCAGACCAGGGCTCGAACCTGTGTCCCTTACATTGGCAGGAGGATTCTTAACCACTGCGCCACCAGGGAAGCCCTACCACAGGCTTTTGGGGAGATACAACTACTATCCCCATTTTACGAACGAGGAGCCGGAGGCCCAGAGAAGTCAAGAGTCTGGCAGAGCTAGTCTCTGATATCCACGGACAAATACTACTTTGCCACATAGTAATAGTTCATATCCAATGAACGATAATAGTCCAATACCCAATTAAATCTGTCAATAATCCTTGGCAGGTGCTACTTTTATTCCCTACTTTGTAGATGGGGAAACTGAGGCTCAAAGAGGTTAAGTGACTTCCTCAAGGTGCTATAGCCGGTAAGTGCGGGTCAGGATTCGAACCCAGACTCAAACTTGTGCACACACGGTGTGAAATGAATCTCACAGGGCCTGGCTCACTGTGTGTTGAGGTCTACGAATAATTCTGGCTTGCTTTTTGTCTTATTCTCTGAGACAGTCATTTACTTGATAAGCCGTCACTCCCCTGGTAAATGCTTGGGGTGAGAGGTAAGCAGACCCCAGCGGAGGAGACCGGGCCCCTCTCTCAGCTTGGCAGGGGCTCAGGAAGTGATGAACCCAACACTTTGGGTTGTAGGGACACAAGAATTTGCTCGTCCTCTACCAGGATGCAGTGTGAGGCTGCTGCCCCCCCAAATCTCTCCTTCCCAGTGATGCCCCCTCCCGACTCTCAGGAAGTTCTGTCTAAGGTGTGACGCACATCCATCTCACGGGTGCTCCTTATATCATTTTTATTTTTAACTTAAAAATATATCTTTGGGGAATTCCCTGGCGGTCCAGTGGTTAGGGCTCCGAGCTTCCACTGCAGGGGGTGCCTGTTCGATCCCTGGTTGGGGAACTAAGATCCCGCATGCCAGTGGCGCGGCAAAAAAAAAAAGAAAAAAAAATCTGTATCTATCTATATATCTTTATTGTCAACCTTCAAAGACTCCCCCGTTGCTCACCAAATGAAGAGAAATGCCCAAGCCTCGCATTTACATCCTTTCTCCGCTGGGACCAATAAATCTTGACAACTTTATCACTTCCTCTTTCTTATATGTAGCCTTTGCTTCTTACAGCCAGAACTGCTCACAATTCTCTAAGTGTTTACAGTACTTTTAAGCCACCAAAATTTCCATACTGATCCTTCTATTAGAATATCCGTTCTGCCCCATCTTTTTCTGCGACAATCCTACACATGTTTCAAAGCCAATCTCAAATACCACCTCCTCTAAAGAAACCTTTCTTGACATGTGTCTAATATAACCAGTATACCCTGGGAATTTAATGTTTGTTGCATATGTGAATGAATGAACCCCAGCCAAAAGGTTCCCCCCTTCCTTGTCATCTCCAGATATTTGTAGTTTAATTAATAGACATTAATTAATTAAAAGTTGTTAGCAGTTTTAGGTTTATGGGAACACATTCTTGGCGATACAGTGGGGCACATCAACCACGTCATTCTGAAGCTTGCTTTTTCCGCTTAATATCGTAGAGATCTTTCTATATTCCCAGCATTGAGACCTTCATTCATTGGCTTCATTCATTCAACAAACTTTTATTAAGTGTCAGTTGTATGTCAGGCACTGTGAGAGAAGCTTAGGATATAAAACTGAACAAAATAGACAAAGCTGTTGTCCTTGGAGAGCTGATATTCTTTCTGGTGGAGCAAGATGAACAATAAATGGTAAAGAATAAGGAAATTATTCAGTACGTTAGAGGATGTTCTCTGTAGAAAAAAGAGAGAGCAGGGTGAGGGGAAGGTGGAGTGGGGAAGGACCCAGCGGGGGAGTGCAGGGAGCCTGTAGAGCCACTTTGAGGGAGTCCCAGGATGGGAACGGCAGGACCTAGCAGTGTTCCATCACCCAAAAGCACAGGGGTGAATTTAGCCTGCCCCCATTGCTGGGTGCCTGTCATTTGCCATCAAGAACAACGCTGCAACAAATACCGTGGCAATCTGTCTTTTTGCCCAGGTGTGAAATACCTGTAGAATCAATCCCTGGCCATGAACTACAACATACTTGAGAGCGATCACCCAGTTGCTCTCCAAGGACGCTGCACCAGGACCATGAGTCCTCCACAAAGCACTGCCCCGGGCTCTCTCAAACAGGTAGGCTCTTCTGGCCGGTCAGGAGATCGCTCATATTCCACCAGGAGAGTTTCCAGGGCAGACATCAGCTGATCCGTGGCGGGTCCCCCAGGGCAGGCACCGGAGGTTCACTCGCAGTTGCGGAGAAGTGCGGCGCTTTCTGAACGGGTTGATGGGCAATTGGATTAGGGGCTGAAGGCGCCACTGCCGTTACTCAGAGAAGCCACCAGGGGGTGCAGGAAGCCCCAAACTCCGGGGAGATGGACCTTGCAAAGGGCATCTGGACTCTTAGAACCTTCTCACTGGGGTTGTGTGGGGCCTAAGTGCCAAGGTGAGAAAAGGTGGAAGGTGGGAGGAAGGAGGAAAGAGAGCAGGAGAAAATAAGACGCGGGAAAACAGGATTAGGGAAAGGGGCTTCCAAGGGTGCCTTCAGAACAGTTTCAGTACTTGTTTGCTCCCTGATCAGGGCTCCCAGCATGGTGCAGACCCCACCAAAGGGAATACAATCTCATATCCATGAATTGAATTCAAGAGTCCAGAACAGACTGGAGGAAAAATTCACAAGATAAATATGTACAGTATGATGATTCCATTTGTGTAAAAAAATTATATTCTCCACAAATAAAAGCTACATATTCTTTAGGGCTGCATGTGTGTTTACCACATATACGTCTATATGAAAAAATCTGGAAAGATGAATTTCAAATTGGCAACAGTGGTTACCTTTGGGACTGTGTGTGTGGAGGTGGTCAGGGGATAGGAAGTGGAATGAAGAGGACTTTAGACTTAAATGAAATATTTTACTTTTCTAGGAGTCTATAACCCTGTTAGTTGTGTGACCTAAAATTAAAAATTGCTGAAAAAAAGAAAAAAATGAAGAAAAAGAAATAAAAGAAACATCAAATGCCATCCTAGTGTCACATCAATAGAAGTCTTACATGCAGCTCAAGGGGGGTGACAGCCTCCTCTGCTCTGCTGAGAGCATACCTAGGACCTCCTTTCCTCTCCTTGTCTCTGTCCTGTGTGAAGAACAATGACAACTCAAGGCATGCCAAGAGTTGAATGTGCGGGGAATTATGGTGCCACCTGAATGGGGTGTGCTGATGGGGGAGCACGCCCCTTACCCAAGTTGGAAAAACTGGGCTGGAATGGGAACAACTTTCAGGTTTGTATGTAGCAAATGGGTCCCTGCTGACAGATCTCTGCTGGGCAGGGTCCTGCCCTGGGGCAGGATTCCAGGAGTGAAGGATGGTGGAAATTCCAGCGCAGATGGGGTAGAGATTTCCCATCTAGCTAAGTAGGGGAGGTGTGGGCTAATCTGGGGATTTGGAATGTATGCAAGATGAGGCAGCATGATGCTTCCTAGGAATGTAGGAGTGCCAAGGATGGACTCCCAGCATCCTATGGGAGGTTGTGGGGGATTTCGTGAAATGCCCACTCAGCTCTGGAAAACAACAGCTGGGAGGCCAGAAGGAGCAGCCATTGAGATGGAGATCAGACCTCAACCGTAGGTGGGCCTCAGTATCTTCATCTGTAAAATGGGTGAGGGCTGGGGTATGGTCTCTGATTTTTTTCCAGTCAAGTATGTTCCAGGGTTCATACTCTTCCTTATGGCCCTCAACCTGAGGATTTGCAGTTCCAATCATTGGCCACCAGAGGTCGCCTCTGACAGGCTTGAAGAAGAAAAAAGCCAGCCTGGTCTGAAGAGGAACCTGAGGCTGGGAGTCTATTTCTTCCTTTCTCTCTCTTTTACGTGAATATTGATTGAGATTAACTCTGTCCCTGCACCGGGGATACAGCAAGGAGCACGGTCTCTGAAATGGAGCTGCTCTCTCCTCTCCCAACTCCTGTTTTTCTCGCACACCCCACATCTAATCTCTTAGCAGATCCTTCGGGACCCAGAATCGGGCCACTCGGTACCCT